ATTTGTACACCACACACCCTTGCCTTTAAAATAATCTTTTGTTGCAAACGTGTCACTGTTTTTAAGGATAAATGTGTGTTTGAACAAAATTGGATTTATACATTGTTTTAAAGAATTTTTGTTCTCTTTTGTTTGCTTGCTTTGACTTCAAGTTGACTTATTATTCCACCCATGCATTTGAATTAGTTTTTCCATTATTTAGTTTTTTAAAACTAACTTTACAAATATTTCTTCATTTTCAATACAAATCATAAGTTAAGTAAAATTATTATTTGAATGCTATTATTTTAGTTCAAACCTTCTATAATAATAATAATAATAATAAAACCCACCTGCCAATATGCATTATCCCAATACCCATTTGCATCCTTATAAGCTCATTATTCTATCATATCATTTCCCTTCTATAACAATGCATTATGGGTAAAATAATGTTGACATGAGGTCGGAGGTTGAATCCCCTATTTCATATTTGTTGTACTAACAAAAGAAAAATAAAAAACAAATTTGAAGAATCGGTTAGAGAAGCATCAGCAATTTGTGAAAGACTTTTTTTTGGGGGAGGAGCAGCAAGAAATTTCTGGATATGTTCTACTAGGAGCAATTTCAAGGACCTTGTAAGTGAGGTGTTCTTTCTTTTGACTCCAACGCATCACAATCTCATCTTCAACAACATATCCTTTGCCTTCGGCTTCCCATTTGATATAGAATTCATCACCAGTCGCGGACTTCTTCATAGTTGTTTCTATGTATTCCTTTCTCTTCGTGTCGAATAAAGTTATGTTCACTCCATTCTCTTCGTCCCTCGCTATCTTCCTCGAAAAAATATTGAGTAAATTCTCTTGGATCTCATCTTGTTTGAGTACCAATGTCCCATTTATGTCACTTACTTCCAATGTCTTTGCTATTGTCCACCAGTTGGTTGCGACCATTTTAGTTTCTTCAACTTCTTGGATCCCTTGTTATCCATGAGAGTTGCCATGTAACCCAATATATATAGGTTAGACAGAGAGAATCAAATATTTAATATTAGGCATGTTGTAAATCTATGGGAGAGAGGCCATGGGATTTATTTTCATTAGTTTCTTTTCAATTTGGAATGAGGCCATTTAATGTGTTTGTCAATAAAACCMAAGCATGCTTTAATTAATTCATTAAAATATATAAGTAAAATGTAGAGTGAACTATACTTTCCTTCATTGAGTTTAGAGATAGGTTTTTATTCGATTTTAAAAAGTGATAGTTTAGTTTTCGTCATTTAGAAAATATTTTTAAAAGGTCCCTAAAGTGAAATTTCCATTAGTGGAACACGTGTAATCAAAGCTTTTTCTTGATCCTTCGTGGTGGAGATTTGAAGGATTTGGTCATGGTGATGGTGGCAAGGAAGGAGAGGATGGAGGGGATTAGCAGTAGTATGGATTTTGCCAAACATGATCAATGGGAAGCKAAGCGATTTTGACAATGAAAAACAAAAAGGTCAAAGTTACTCTCAAACACACCCTTAATCCATAATATATGACTTGAACTATGTTCAGATTGACAACAAAAATAAGGTAATTATTTTATATGAATTTAATTGTATCTTATTTAATTTACATGTTTAATTTGGGTGAGATAAATTTTTCATGAGTTGATAATAAATTTTGTAAAAAAATAAATTATTATTTCATTAAAATACTATTTTAGTCTCTATACTTTTGACTTTTGTTCATTTTGGTTCATATACTTTCAACATATTCATTTTAGTTTTTGTACTTTCGACTTTTGTTCATTTAAGTCCTTGTACTTTCAAAACCTTTTATTTTGATCTCTATACTTTCATAAAGTGATTAATTTGGTCTTTATTTGAAATATTTTAATACAATTTTTTTACATAATGGAAACTCTTTCATACAAATTTATAGTTACATTTAAACAAATTTAGTAAGTGAATTGTAATGGAAAAATTATGATCTAAAGAAATGAGATAAAAATAAAAGTAAATGAGTAAAATGATAACTTTTTAAAAGTACAAGGTCGAACATGGACATTTTTTCAAATACGGACTAAAATAAACCAAAATCGAAAATACACCACCAAAATAAAATTTAAACTTATTATTTTATATTAATCTAATCCCACCAAATAATTCGTTTCATTTCTTTATTAAAAAAATAATAAAATAATTCATTTGACTAAAAAATAAATTATAAATAAGTAAAAAAAGGAATAATGGAATGAGAGAGCAGAATTAAAATTATAATATGCGTTAAACTTTAAGGTTTGTCCCTAACAAGTTATGAAAACTTTAAAAATATTTAATAGGTTCGGTAGATCCGTAAAGATTATCACATATCTTTTTAAACTTTTAATTTTATATGTTATATATCATTGACTTAATCCACATTTTTTTTTAAATTCACAGAYTTGTTAGACATAAAATTGAAAGTGAGATTCTATCAAACACAAAATTCAATTTTATGTCTAATAGATCTATTAATTTTATAAATCGAATATGTCATTAATTTATCAGACATAAAATTGAAAGTTCAACAACTTACCAAACATGTTTTAAGCTCAACAATCCATAGATACAAAATTAAAATTTCAAAGACCAGTTAACTAATTTTTTAAAGGCCGAAAGACCTAACAAACACAAACCTAAAAGCTTTAAGCGCTAAACTTACAATTTTGACAATAATATATTATTGATTTCTCTAGAGTAACTAAATATTATTTTAAAATATAGTTTTTTTAGTACAAAAATTTTGGGATATGAAAGATTGAGGGGTATGGTATGCTCATAGCGATGTTAACATATATGGTTAATACAAATCTTTCTAACAATTGGCCTATTAGCTCAGTTGGTTAGAGCGTCGTGCTAATAACGCGAAGGTCGCAGGTTCGAGACCTGCATGGGCCATTTTTTTCTTTTATTTTCATTTTCTTAACTTTTATTATTATTTTCCAGCCAAACAAACTCCTTTTATTCTCATTTTTTACTTCAATATTCTATTAGAAACTTAATTTAAATACAAAATGGATATAATCAAGTTTATTGACCAAATTTAAAATTTAACCTTAAAAATTATATTAATTATAACCAAAAGGCTGGGCTCTTAATAACATTGTCTTTGTACTAAAATAATAATAATAATAAAAAATAACATTGTCTAATTTTAGTATGCTCACAAATTGTGCCCCTGTCAAAAATTGTTCATTTGTGCCGAGAGAGTTTCGTGTAATGGAACGTTACCAAACTGAGTCCTAGAGAATCTAATATTTAATATTAGACCTGTTGTAAAACTATTGGAGATGACATGAGTTTGATTTTCATTAGTTTCTTTTCAACTTGAATAAGGCTATTTTCTGTGTTTGTCAATAAAACGAAAGCATGCCATAATTAATTCATTAAATTACATTAAACAAATACAATTATATGGTAAGGTTATCTGTTTAATAATCCTTTTATTTTTTATTTTCTGTTTTTTGAAAATTCTTTTTATTGGCACTACCACGAGAAAGATTCACGTTGGGACTAAGAGCACGTCCCCTAAATTTCTATCAAATTTATTATAGTGTACTTCTAAGTTAAAAAAATTGCCTTTAGTTCGTTTGGTTATGYTTCTATAAGTCTTCCTATCCCAGCACGTACCGTATAATTCTTTGTTTTTTAACTATATTTTTATTATTTTTTAAAATATATTTTTACTATTTTTTCCTAAATATATTTTTATGCTTTTTTTGTTTTCTAAATATATCTTTATTACTGAGTCTCAACTTCAACATATTTTGATGTATTTTATATATTTTTATTGTATTGTGATTGAATTTCAACGTTAGTCTATTTTTCTTTAGCACAGTTGAAATGTACGAAGCAGCTGATCACCAAAATATTGTGTCGTTAGAATATACAAAGCAGTAGAATATCAACAAAATATTATGCAACATTATGCTTCGTAATTCACAACTCGAATCTTATTTTTAATCATCCTTGGAAGGCTGACATTCTCATATTTGTATACCATTTATAGCATTTACTTATGTGTATTATTTCTATATAAGTAGCTTAATTTTAGGAAAGTAATTGGTGTAAATTGGGCGATCGTTGTCCAAATCTCTCCCCACCCCTCGATATAAGTTAA